TGCATATACTACATTATAAGCATCCGCACCTACTTACGTTCAAACTGTTCCAACATTGATTGATTAGCACCACATGCACCACTGTTATTCTGAGAACATACTAAATGTTGTATAGTATATAGATGCACTGATATAGTCGTCTGCCATTTTTTTCCTGTGTGATGTCGTACCTACATGAAATCATCCCAAGAAGCTAATTGTAGACGTAAATAAACATGTCCAAGTGTAAACAAACCCGCACTGTCAAATGAGGGATTGAATTAATATAACCATCACACTTCATAACTTTCGCGTTGGTCGAAATCAAATGAAAATTAGCAACGATATCAAGAAGATGCTCACGCGATAAAAGATGGAAGCTAAACTAAAATGATGGCCCATGCGCATGACAGTTTTTTAATTATTACCAAATATATTATTATAATTACCAAACGCAGAATAACATGAAATATCCGTTGTTTTCCTCTATATTACGTATATTTATAATAAACAACTTTATCATGATAAATAAACACATATCGGCGTACTAGATGAATTGTTAATTATTAAATGATGCTGTTCACAATGAAAAAATATGACACTAATAAATCATTTATTGTCAATAAATAAAGCATGAAAACAGGTACGATTTTGATGAATAAGCCTTTTTTATTATGAATATGGCTAATTAATTATGAACAAATTTGACGTTAACAAATATTTGATAATTATTACTGAGATGTTTCTTTCGGTGATGTACCACCCTTGCCGCTATACAACTATGAGGTATGTAATTCTACGCCAGGCTAGCTCTATACGATTTGATGATGTAAAAACTTCACAAACGATAAGATTTTCACAAAATTCTAATTGATCGATCATTTAGACCCCAATATTTCACCACTGTTGAATATGTTTTCTTAGTAAGTAATAATATGTATTCGATATCAAAACCCTTTCAAGTTGATCCGGAACACCGAATTTTAATGTAGATATTGTGCCTAATTTCCGGAAATGTAGCTTTATCGAACCTGTCCACAGCTAACTAATCCTTCAGGTTGACAAAGTAGAATATATAAGCAAGCCAAGGTTAGTTTTGTTCATCGTACCAGTATATCACCTGACGAAGCTACTACACGGTAAAAAAGGATTTGTTGCATCAACAAATTATTCATGCTTGAATTATTTATGTTGAACTGAGCAATTTCTTGTTGAATAAACCAGATACATAATTATTCCATGGAAGCAGCTTGTTCAAATCAAGAATGTAGTCTAATTGAATCAACAGTATGATATGAATTCCATCATCAAAATATATGTTTTTTTCAAAAACAAATTATATCGATCCAAAATAATGTTGATGTTAATTCAACTATGAACATTTTGTTGATTTGATCAAATAATGATCATGTTGATGGGAATATATCTTTGAAACAACATACAAGTTTTCTTATTCCGATCTAGCAATGAACTTGTTTCGAACGGAGAATTTGGTTGAATAGAGCAACGAAATATGTATTATCAATGAAATATTTTTTTCATTCTACATCAAGTTAAATGTTCGTCTCCAGATGGTGATCATTTCTCCTCGTCTATGCCTGCCATGAATTGCCTGGATAAATCGAATGCATAAGCTGAAGAGAAGTGATGACTGGAGATCTATGCTAGAAGTCGACTAGTTTCTTAGTTCAGTTCATTCTATTGATGTGAAATTTCAGAAAGTTCCCGAATTGATACTGAATTTGGTTCAACAAAACAATTTGTCGAATGGGAATACAGTTTCTCTTGATTCAACGAAATAGTTCATTGAATCAACCAAATAATTCATTGAATCAACCAAATATTTCTTTAAATCAACCAAATATTCCATTGAATCAACTAAATATTTGATTGAATCAATATCTTGTTATTTTGAATCAAACAAAATGATTGTTTGAGCCAATACAATATCTCTTCACAAACAATTCATGTATGTGCTTGATGAAATAAGATTTAGAGATCATGCAAGACTTATTTACTTAATTCAAACTTAAAATCCACTCTGAAACAAGATATAGATTGAATCATTTCAAGATTATATTTTGTCGTGCATACAGTGTCATTCATAAAGTCGGCATCATATGGGAAAAACTTTTATTATTGACTTATTTTGGAATTCGAGTTGGACGTAAGGTTTTGCTTCGAAAAAGATGAAAAATGGCCTACTCAATCGGGGTCACGTGACTTTCGCTACTTGTCAAAAGTGACATTTTTTCAATTTAATCGCTGAAAGTATGCTTATTTCTTCGAATATCGAAAAAGTTTACTTGAAAAAGTTGTTTCTATTTCAATTTTAAACATGCTTCCCGAATTTGATCTTTTTATTGCAACTTTCAGATTTTGATGTTTTTTTAAATTTTTCGAAATTTCTGTAATATTTGAAGAATTGTTAATTCCACGAAACTACTTCATACCAGTAGCTCTTTCATGCTACTTACTTTCAAATACTTATTATCACTGATTATGGACAGAAATATGATTTTCTTCAGAAAATGATAATACCCGCTTCCAAATTTTGTTATGTTTGATGCAAAGTTGATATATCGTCAAGCATTTAGAAACGAAGTTCATTTAAACTGATCTTTTCAGTACTGGAAAAATGAATTTAAAATGAATTTCGTTTCTAAATGCTTGACTCAAACAAAACAGAATTTTGATGTTATGTTTGGATCAAACATAACAGAATTTTGAAGAGGAGATTATCATTTTCTGAAGAAAATCATATTTTTGTTGATAATTAGTGATAATTAGTAATTGAAAATTAGTGACATGATTAAGCTACTGGTATGAAGTAGTTTTATCGAATTTACAATTTTTTTAATATTACAGAAATTTCGAAAATTTTTAAAAAATATCGAAATCTAAAAAATGTAATAGAACGATAAAATCCGAGTCACATATGTAAAATTCAAATAGAAACAACTTTTTCAAGTAAACTTTTTCGATATTCGAACAAATAAGCCTACTTTTAGCGATTAATTTGAAAAAATGTCACTTTTGCGAAAGTCACGTGACCCCGATTGAGTAGGTCATTTTCCATCTTTTTTGAAGCAAAACTTGACGTCCAAATCGAATTTCAAAATGAGTCTATAATAAAAGTTTTTCCCATATGATGCCGACTCTATGAATGACACTGTATATGACACTTTTATTTGCTTCATTCAATTAAATTTTGCATGATTCAACAATTCCTTTATTTTCGTGTATGTTAGCGAAACATGTCGTGTGTTTGTGAATTTTGTGGAAATCTTATCGTTTTTGAAGATTTTACATTTGCCATGGATTTCCATCAAGCAACGGCAGAGTCAATTCAGGGCGTTTGAAGCCCTCAAAGAGAGAAGGTCCTTTGTTATCAAACTTGATATCAATAATTCTTTCTTATCAGAAATACCGAAATTTCGATTGAATATGAAGGTAACAGACAATAACTATAACAATAGCGTTAGAAGGCCAACGAGGTTTGTCTACATTTTTCGAAGAGAAGGTTTAGTGAAATTCCCTATCTTACTTCAGAGATCATCATGTATACTAGCTCTAATTTCAAAAATTCTGAAGGAACGCATATTCATCATAAAGGATTTTGAAGGGGTAGTGGGTGTGTCTCCAAAACTTCTACGCCACTAGGAAAGTACACTTTTGAGCCGTTCATTTGAACCTCCAATGTTTTATTTATATACAAGGTTCTTGGAGTCATAAGCTCTGAAATTGACGACTTTAATGTTGAAAAACATGATACAATTTTTGAACAGTTATTGCTGCGTGCATTGAAGCTAAGCATCTAATCGAAATCTTCAACAACTATGATTTGACACTCTCGAGCCTGTCGGTACACATATGTACCAGTAAGAATCACGCAAAAACTACAAGCAGATATTCATATTTTATATAGTCCCGCTATGTCCTACCTCCTTATGTAACTTAGAAGAGCGTAGTTTCATTTGAGGTTATGTGTAGTTATTTATTTGTGCTGTCACGTTCTAAGCTTGGTTTTCAGTTAATTTTGACGAAAAAAACTGAAATAAATTGCCCATATTGTGTGTGTAGACTTAGTCGAAGGTAAATTGCGAAACACTGGTGGAAATAACAAAAAAACAGCTGTTTGCTACAGTGTTACACATATGTACCAGCAGTCCGTAACTGCACTTGATATTGGAACATGTATATGTACCGATAGTCTTCTGTGTTGACTTTGTTTATTTTTTTTGTCTCAGACGATGTCCAGGAAAAAATGTATGGATCAGTTGTACCACATCGCTGACTATTTGTCAGAAGTTCCAAGTTTATCCGACTTTTCGTCGGGCAGTAGCGATCTATGGAAGCCGACATCTGCAGAAAACACGTACTTATAATATGTACCACCCTCAAGGACTCTCAAAGACTGGCGGTACATATATGTACCATCCCCCCAGCACTTCTAATGAATAAGAAGTAATTGAAATTTCGATGTAGAGGTGTTATTTGATGGCCACTGACATTAAACCAATGAAAATCTAACCCATAATCCTCAAAACAAAAATTAGTCTGGAAAGGGTTGAAACACCGCACAATACATAGCCTATATCATGAGTAGGAGATGCTTACAGAAGTTGTTTATTGTGCGATCAACGCTGCTAGAGATATTCGCAAAATACTATTTTTATTTATATATTTCAACACTCTGTATCTAGAGAATGGAGCTTTCTAGAGGGTAAGTTGATATTAGCTTTTTTATATTTTTGAACGTCATCGTTTATTTTTCAGTACTCGATCAGTTACAAGATTGAATAAATCAGTGATTTCAAGATACTACAGTATTATTGAACCTATAGATAATCGTTAATCACTTGAGAACTCATCAAAATGACATTCTATTACATGTTAGCGTAAAATCTTCAAGAGATGAACTAACCTATTTCAGTTATCGAGAATCGATAAAGCATAGAGGAATAAACAAAAGATATAAGTTACCACTATCTTATTTCGTGGTTTCTCCTCGATTCTGTCGAAACAGTTCCCAACTACTTAATTTAGTCTCTGATACGAAAAAGTAATGATGTTCAACTTTTCACTGAGTTATGATCGAGTAGAGATGCTTTTCTGGTTGACGATACTATTTTATACGAACTGGACATCAGCTGGAGGTGAGCTTTATTTGAAATCTAACCGAAACTAAAAACTATATAGCATTATCAATTTGCTCAAAATTGAGTCTACGGGACTATTACTTCAGTTTATGAACGCTCATTTTCACACTAGGGATGTGTTTGAACATTGTCGTTCTGGATGACAACCTAGTTAGGTAGTTAGTAAGCAAGAGCTATATCATACTTCCTCGCACTAGGTCGCATACTAGGTTTTCATTCAGATTGACAATGGTTTGAAGTAGAAATGAAGTATAGAAATTCTAGAATTCTGCGAACTTATATGTACAAGGCAATTAGTGAATATCGTTCATTATTTCCATCAGATTCGTAACGAAATCCTTCCTCACTGTGTCCTCGCCAGGTCTGCATCCAAATATCAAGTCACATGGAAGCTTCATCTTTCGTCCAGATAGCACATTTGTTGGAGTGTATCCCGTGGACTCCTGTACTACGGATCTGTAAGTCATCAAGAAGAGAGAGAGATATTGGTTCCAGTCCTGTTGGTGTTGATACACAGCTTTGCAGAGATACCTCCCAATGGTTCATGTCATTCGCTTTATCATGCCATTTGACTGTGGATGCAATGGAGTTGTTCTTCTTTTCTTGATTCCTAACTTCTCGCTCATCTTCTTGAATACTTCACTCTTGAAGTTCCGGCTCTGATCAGAGTGAAGTTCCAATTGCACCCCAAAACGATCGATGAGTTGATTCATCAGGACATCGGCGACAGTTACGGCATCCGGGTTAGGGATCGTATGCGCATCCATCCACTTGGTAAAGTAGTCCATGCAGCCAAGAATGTATTTATTTTCATCATCAGTTACTGGAAATGGCCCAGCAATATCCATGGCAACCATCTAGGAAGGACATCCAACAATGTAGTGTTTCATTGGAGCCCTTGGTTTACGATGAGGCCCATTTGCTGGAGTTCACATAGTAAACCGTTCACGTACCTGCTGCAGTGTCTCCTCCACTTCTAGATTTCTCCTTGTAGTTCCATCATGTACATATTCGAGTACTCCCGACACTCGGCTCCTAGGAATTACTAACTGCATCCAATCATTCGACCCATCATCGCTCTCTCGAAATTCCTTCTCAGCAGGTCGTCTTCTAATATCAAGGAGTCCCACTGACTCCAGTACGCCTGCAAGGTCGGTGAAGACTTCTTGCAAAATAGGGCGGCGATACGCTTTCTCCCATTCTCGGAGTTTTCAGAGTTCTGGGGCCATTTATTTTTATAATGTGAGTACTCAGGTGGACATGGCCTCCTGGACAATGCATCTGCAATATTATGGATTGTCCTCACTTCGTGTGCTCTCACAGTTATATTACTGAAGCCTCTCGTCAATAAAGACATAGCCACGTCTGTTATAATTAACCCGAATCCATTGTTTTGATGCGTGATTCGCACTAATGGCACTCGAGTTTAGTAGGTATTTATTAATAACGACTTGTCATAAATACAAAACATGCCAATCATCTCAGTAAAATATCCTATAATAATCTGAGAAGTTTATACTCTTACTATTACTTTTTTGGGAAAATCACGTGAGATCAATTGCTAAAAGTGCATCCTAAAAACTTGGTTTTCTGTTTCGGGCCAGGAGCTATTTCACTTCCAGTCAGCTGCTTATGATCTATAAGGCTCAGATCCGACCTGTCCTGGAATACTGTTCCCATATTTGGAGTGCAGCACCCAAACGTACCCTTGGATTCTGTCAAAAAACCGCCGGCGATTCGTCTCGTGGGTGATGCCGCGCTCACAAATTCACTCACTTCTCTGGAACACCGTAGGAAAGTTGGTGATCTGGCTCTATTTTATAGATATTTCTATGGACGATGCTCTTCTGACATATCAACAATTGTTCCTCCCTTGGCAGTCCCCACGAGATTAACCCGTTGAGGCTCCGCACCCCTTCGTGGTCACTTTGGAGACTTGCAGAACATCTCTTTCCAAACACTCTTTCATACAACGAACATCGAGGCTCTGGAACACATTGCCAAGGGAGGTGTTTCCCGAGGCATATAACCTCCAGGAATTTAAGAAGACCACCAATCACTACCTTATTTCCCTTGATTCTCACGATGTTCTCTGAACATTACAGGATATCCCTTTTCGTGGGAACCAGAACAAAAAAAATGTATAGGAACAAGAGCGAAAGATAATGAAGGTATGTGTTGATTGAGTGCAAGATATTGGAGATTCCTTCAAGAATGAGCGAGATATGATGAATAAAAAATATCACGTGCACTATATACATTAACGAAGTATATGAGATATCCCAACTTGTATTGTGAGAAGATGTCAAAATAAACGAGAAAATATTGTATACCTCTCACATCTCAGTAGCGCGATCTGTTGGACCAGTACGTCATCGGTTTTCCCTCTCGCAAAATGTGGCAGGGGGTTTTACAATGTTGATATTTTCAGGTGCTGAAAGTGAAGTTAGGGCAAGAAAATGTCTAACTCGAGATAATCTACCAGGCCAATGCATGAAAATCCAGCAATGCCAGCAAATTTGGGTTTATTATGAGAGTTACTACAAATGGAATAAACCGATACCCCTAAGAATGAAAAAGAGGCTCAATAGTCTCTCTTGTATACATATGTCTGTTGGCGAAACGATCGTTTGCTGTGCCACCAAATACTTGAACTTTGAGCATAACATGAAGTTTGCGATTTCTAATGAGAATCCTCCTGATGTTTCCATGCATGATAACCTGCATCTGTTGCCATATGAATGTGGCAAAGCACCAAGTGATTTTAAAATAAGGAATGGTGGAAAAACGGGTTTGGGTGAATTCCCTTGGATGGCAATACTCTTCATCGGCAAAGGTTGGTGTTTATTCTCACACTACGATCAGTATGGTCTATAATTTTATAATTATATTACGAAATAACTTGTGCATCGCATGGATGTTAACGAATTTGAATTTGTCCAGATGATACAGGCTGAACATTGTTCATATAGGGTGTAACAAGTTTTTAGTTACCCTAATAGCACACAATGTCCTAGGTACGTCCCAATTTCGTACAATTCAAGTCCGAATGTCCAGAACCAAAAATAAGTGTCCTTGGGACGTCCCATCCCGTACATCTCATGCAATGTCCGAGTAAGGACGTCCCTGGAATGTCCCAGCCGGTACATCATTTTAAATGTCCTAGAAATAGCATCCCTTAGACGTCCCACGTGGTACATATTGTAGAATGTCCATGTAAGGACGTCCTTGGTATGTGCCTGATGGGATATGATTTTAAACGTTCCTTTAGGGACATCCATCGGATGTCCCGAGTAGTACATATTCTGACTTGACATCATATCTTATATAATGCGCCTTCTAGACAACCATGAAATGTCCCTTCAAATATCTCTACACAGACGCTCTTAATATTTCCAGGATCGTATATAAATCGAAATGTCCTTCGGATGTCCCAGTTGATGCATGCACTGTACTTATCCAATATCCTAGAAATAACGTCCTATGGACGTCCCAGTCGGTACTTTCAATATGTTGTCCCTGCGAGGACGTTAACTTACACCTCGCCGACGAATGATTGCTCGCAGGCTTTGAAAACTCCCCATCAATGTCCTTCACGTAAGTCCATTGGACATCATTGGAAAACTTTTTCAGGATCTATTAGGGACCTTCTACGGACCATCAACTCAACTGGATGTCCTCATCAGTTATGCAAGATCTGGTCCTAGAAGTTCAAGAATAATTCGTACGTCCTTGGGACATCCTATGGACATCCAATTGATATCCCTCAGCGTTGCTGAAAGGTTGTCCTCGATAGTTGTCCCAGGGACGTCTCTCAAGGACGTCCCTAAGTGGTCCTCAAGTGGAACATTAAACATTAAATTCAAACGTCCTATGGACGTCCTGAATGTCCCGACAGGACGTCCTAAGGATATCCATGGGACATAATTGTGTTATTAGTGTAGTTATTCTTATTTATAATGCTGCTTATTAGCCCTCAACCGGTTCAATAGTCATAACGGATTTCTTAGTCTAGCACGGTAGTCCTGAAACAACAAATCATGAGCAAATCAGTCCTGCTAGACAGTGACAGTGAAGATTGAAGACGGGAGACTAAATAACCAATCAAGAGAAGGGATAGATTTGAATTGTTTCCTCTCGTGAAGAACGAATAGGACATCGCTCTGGCACTCTCTTCTTAGCTATCAACTTGAAAGATTGATGTGATAAGTTTTGGGGATTGAAAATATCTGGTCCGTTTGAATCTATATCTTCATATTTCGATATTATTGGATATTAGAGTTCCTTATCTTCTGTATTAACACTTTGTGTTGTTGTGTGCAAAATTTGTAGCTATTGAATATAATAAGTCATATATCTTTTCAGATTGAGGTTAAGTATCACCTGATGTTTTCTGCCTTGTAGCTCAAACTTACTCATTTTGTCACTTGTTGCTATCAGCGTCGTTAATATATCCTCCTTCAATAAGTTGAAACGAGAATCTACTATCTTGAGAATATTTTAGGTATTGGAAGATCGATACGTCATCGCAGTTCTTCAGATTATCATACAAAAGGCTGGAACTGAAGTTTCCTCCGTGTCTCGTCCTTGAACATACAGGACCTAGAGCTTTGAAGTTGAACCTTGACGTCCAAGATGTTCTTCTCCAGGAGTCTTTCTCAGGTGAGCATTTCATTTCTTTCATCATCTCGGGAATTTACTTCAAAGTCATAATTCTATTATTCTGAGGAATAATGGCAACCAGCGAAGGGTTTTTTTTTCTTAGCCTGTCCAATCAACCTTTGTCTGGTACCTGTGTAGGTTTCGCTATTCTTGTGACGAAAGAATAACCGATATTTTGAGTTTTCTTGTGAATATTTTCTCACTCTGCTCAACAAACCACATGTCAGTGTGTATACCTATTTCATTATCTCAGGTTCTAGCGGATATCAATTCCAAACCTCAACCTCAAGCTTGAATATTACCTTTTATCTGGCATTCAACTTCTGAACCAAGGCTTTCCACCCTGTATCTGATATTTTTTTACTTTTACTAGAAAGTAGATTGTTTGACATTTTGAGTTGACGGATTTTTGCCACCTTCATTTTATATTATCATTTCTGTCATCTGTGTGATTAATTTTTAGTAGTGATATCCCTATAGGACATTGATAATAGTCGAAATAATTTTATGACAATCCAAAAGCTCGTTCCTTGATTACAGCTCGCAGCCGAAGGCTGAGGGCTGGTACCGAAACAACGAGCTTGAGAAATTTGTCATGAATTTATGAGGCATTTGTCCCTGAGTACGAGAATACAAATTCGGCTAGGTTACCTAGCCAGATACTCATTCATCTACAACTTGTCTTCGGTTGAACCCTCTTGGGTTATATGGTGTCGACAAAGGACCTCTGGGGTACCGGGCGACATCTCAGAGTAAACAGCGTTAGCCCTGTGCAGTGGGCACCACAGGGCTGGACTTACCTCGTCCGCCATTACTCGTTGGAGAAGGGAAACTCTTGGCCTTCTTCATGGACGAGGCCAGGGCTCGGAAGGGTAGTTACTGTGGCGGCATTCGAAGTGGCCCTTATATAAGAACCATGGGTCGTATTTCTCTAATAGCACACAACGTCCTAGGGACGTCCCTATTCGTACAATTCACGTCCGAATGTCCCGAACCAAAAATAAGTGTCCTTGGGACGTCCCATCCCGTACATCTCATGCAATGTCCGAGCAAGGACGTCCACGGAATGTCCCAGCTGGTACATCATTTCAAATGTCCTAGAAATGGCATCCCTTAGACGTCCCACGTGGTACATATTGTAGAATGCCCAAGCAAGCACGTCCTTGGCATGTCCCTGATGGGATATGATTTTAAACGTTCCTTTAGGGACATCCATCGGATGTCCCCGAATAGTACATATACTGGCATGACTTCAGATCTTATATAATGTCCCTTCTAGACAACCATGAAATGACCCTGATGGTACATTCCTTCAAATATCTCTGCACAGGCGCCCTTAATATTTCCAGGATCGTATAACAATCGAAATGTCCCTTAGGGCCGTCCTTCGAATGTCTGTCGGATGTCCCAATTGGTACATAAACTGTACTCTCCCAATGTCCTAGAAATAACGTCCTATGGACGTCCTAGTCGGTACTTTAAATATGTTGTCCCTGCGAGGACGTTAACTTACACCTCGCCGACGAATGACTGCTCGTAGGCTATAAGTACTCCTCGTAAATGTCCTTCACGTAAGTCCATTGGACATCCTTGGAAAACTTTTTGGGGACCTTCTACGGACCATCAACTCAAGTGGATGTCCTAATCAGTTATGCAAGATCTGGTCCTAAAGGGACCCAGACAAATTCAGATTGAAAAATAATTCATACGTCCCTGGGACATCCTATGGACATCCAATTGATATCCCTCAGCGTTGCTGATAGGTTGTCCTAGTGATGTCCTTAGGACGCTCTTTGTAGTGCTTGATGAGGAATACTGTAGGCTTTAGGTATTCGATAGTTGTCCCAGGGACGTCCCTCAAGGACGTCTCTAGTTGGTCCTCAAGTGGGACATTTGTGCGTCTCACAGACGTCCAATGGACGTCCACGGTACCAAATTCGAACGTCCAATGGACGTTTTCCCGACAGGACGTCCTAAGGATATCCATGGGACATGAGTGTGTTATTAGGGTTAGTAAAATCAATAACGGCATATTCGAGGTACAATAGTACAATGGTGTCATCGGAGACTTCGGTCAGACGAGCCTTCAAAGGAGGTGGAGTGTTTAGTGGGTACAGCTACATGTAGGGATCCCCATGCATACTACCATGGAGGAAATGGTCCTTCGTAGTGTCCATAAAGGATTTTGACCACCTTCGAAAAAAAAAACGAAATGAGGCATTTGTCAATGTCCGAGGGATATTCGGCGAGAAATAATTTGAAGTTGTCAAAGTCTATCGTGTTTTTCATAGTGATTGATAATTGCACTGAATGAAGTCATCAAGAATGTATCTTCTACTCAACATGTCATCTAAGTTTTGAACAATTTTTGTTTGAAAAAGGTGATTTTTCTCGAATTTTCGTTATATATCCATACCAGGATATCTCTAAATAGCGAACTATAATTATTCCATTCTCATTTATTTTCTGTCGATTTCCTCAACGTTTTTCTTAATAAACAGATTGTTCACAAATCTCCTATCTGAATTGAATTCTAATTTTTCGAAGTTCCTTATTTCAAATATCAACTTTGTAACCTTTCAGAATATTCACATTCAGAACATAAAGCTGACTTAGCGGTCAAAGGATATCCTCCCATGCCTTTCTATCATATGGTCGAACTACTTTCTGATTCCTCCTATTTTTTTGCATCCAGTGTACGACTCTGCCTGATTCGAGGATCATGGATAACCAGAGAAAAGTAAAATGGATTAGTTACCTGGAGGTTCCCTTCTACACAGTCAGAACTGAGAGAGTCTACCTCACTACTTCCATCATAATATGTACAGGGTGATTGACTATGGATATCTCGACTTCAATAGCTGAATGAGATGTCATTTCCTTCTGGAAAATAAGTTCTCTGCTTGATTTTATCATTTCATATACAGGGTATGTGAAAAAAAAAATTGTTCAAATGGAACTCCCTGTATATTATCGCATATTTCGAAAGAGCTATGTTTCCTGATTTCAAAGATATATACTTTTCATGTATTCTATCGAGAGCTTGGCGAAATATCAGCAAAATTAAATATTAATATTTGGTAAAAGTTAGCTATGGTTGAAATAGAATGGGATGATGAATAAGTGAATTGACATTTTGTCAACATTTCAGTGACATAAGTGCACAAAATTTCG